CTGAAGGGGGACAAGGCCGGCTGAGCCCGGGACCCCCTGACCCTGAGGGGGGCAAAGGCCGGCTGAGCCCGGGACCCCCTGACCCTGAGGGGGACGAGGCCGGCTCAGCCCTGGACCCCGCCCCATGGGCACCTCCTGCTGGCTGCTGGGGAAGGCCAGGCGCGGCACGTGGACGACAGCAAAGAGCAGGTGGAAGACGACAGGCAGGACAGGCGGGTAGCGCAGCAGCTGGAAGCTCTGGCGGCGGAGGGCGGCCTGGGCCAACAGGTCGTCGAAGGCTAACCAGTCGAGGGCGCTGCACACGGCGTCCAGCCCAGGGTCCCGCAGCCGCAGCCGCAGGAAGTTGTCATACAGGCCCTGCGGTCGGCGGGGTCCGTGAGCCCCCAACCTCCTGCCCAACCCACCCCTTTCTGCTCCCTCCACTCTAGGGGTTCCAGGGTCTCAGGGTTGCCAATCCCCAGAGACTGTAACCCGTGCTACTGTTCGACAAGAACACCAGGATGTACGGGGAGACCCTGCCTACCCCGAGTACCTCAGGAGCCAGCCAGGCTGGCCCCTCCTTCTGGGGCACAGCTGGCAGGAGAGGGCCCCCAGAGCCCAAGGTGCAAAGCCCATCTCTCGCCTCTGTAGCCTTGCTGGCCCCAAGCCACACTGAGCCACCCCCATCCCTGTGCTGACCACCGCTCAGTGAGATTGCGTGGATCTCAGCCCCCTAATCCAAAGCTGCTTAGGCTCCAGGAGCAGCTTAGGCCTGGGTTCTGGGGCGCTGGGAGCGCCATCTGCCACCCCCTCCAGCCGAACGTCAGCCAACCTCCCCCACCCCTGCTCTCACACCCAGTTGTGATCCGCATCCCCCTTCCCGCCCAGGACCCAACCCCAACCTGCCCCAGCCCCACCCCTGACAAGCCCTGTCCTTGTACCATCACCCCCAACGCCCTGTCACCCTCCTCCCCGCAACTTCTCCTGGAGCACGGCGCCCACTTCCTCCATCACGGGGACGCACTCCCCCGCACGCTCTCTGGGTTACCTGCACCACCTTCTCGTGCTCGCCGGCGGAGGTGGCCACGTGCAGCACGCGGTGGAAACGCTGCGAGACCGAAGTCACGGCCGCATCGGCAGAGCAGGATCCTGCGTCCCCACTCAAGAGTGCGTGGGCAGGCGGGGCCAGGTCCTGGTCCACACGGCGCCTGGGGGGGACACTGAGGCTGGACGGAGCCCCGCATGACAGCAAAGGCAGCCCCCTGCCTCCCTGAGTCCCCCGGGCACCCATCCTGAGAACGACCACAGCCCCAGAGCCTCACCCAGAGCCCCTCCCGCACAGGGCTCGCCACCCAAGAGCCAGAGGGTCCACGCAGTCACACGCTCTGAGATCTCAGAGGCCTCGGCTAACCGGAATGTCACTTAACTGGACATGGCCAGAGCCCAGCGGTAGATATGGGGCCAGTAGCCTCTGCCCAGGTGTCCACAGGGCCTGTGGAGGGTGTCCCCCCTGCGTCCCTGGGCCCCCGCCCACCCCTATGCCCGCACCTCTGGGCCCGGGGCAACTGGAAGACCTCCTGCCACACTGCAAAGAGCCCCTTGCGCTGGTCCTTGAGACCAACACGCGTGCTCTGCACAGCCCGGACACTCAGCTCCCGCTGGCCCTGTCCGTGCAGGAACTGGGTATGGGGGGATGGTGAGGAGCAGTGAGACACGGCAGCAGCAGGGGCGAGGGCCACCCTGCACCCCCCACACCCCTAAACCCCC